GGCTCTTGTTATCAAACAGAGGTTCTGTAGATTTGAGAGTGTCATGTGAAAGTTCAAGCATCAGGGCCTGCTGCACACGGGGAAGGAGAATCAGGTCAAGAACATTGTCAACCCTTAGTTCGTTTTGCCTGGGGATCAACGGAGGCGGTTGAGTTAATGGATAACCATGAACTCGTGAGTCGTGCACTAATGGTGGTCAAACAGTTTTGCGTTGAAGTGTAGATCATGAAAGGAGATAGACAGAAAGGACTCGGGCCGCAGGTGTTCTTGAGGCCATGGCTCTGAGTCTGGGGTTTTTACACAGTGCTGAGAGACTGGCTGCCTGGGCACCGGCCTGTTCTCCAGGAATGCCAAAGCCAGACCAATATAATGGAGAACAAACAGGAGCATTGTGCAGTGCAGGGATGGAGAAAGAAACAGACACACGCACACACACACACACACACACACACACACACACATAGGTCTGCCCTGCAGGGCTTGTGAACAGGCCATCTGCTCTCAACCAAACCCCCACCTGAACCTGTGCAGGCACAAAACCACTTAAAAGAGAGGCTGGATTGGAATCACATATTATTTAGCTCAGGATGGGCTGTGTGAAATACTTCACTGTATTATACAATGTATAATTTTAAACTTGTTGATAAAATTCTTCTCGGCTCCAAATGCCAGGACTAGTGGAGCGATGACTTTTAGAGAGCCTTAGCGTGCTGAAAGGGTTTCTGAAGGACAGTGGTGCTGACGTTGGCAGAATAAAGACAACAAAGCAGTCTGTGTCTTACTAACATTGTAAGCACGCGTGTTTGACCTTTACTAAACTTCTGTACATCCTTAAAAGTAGATTATAATTAGAACCAAAAAGTTTATACAGCTTAACGCCACAAAACCTTATAAACGTTTCTTCTCTAGCAAAAAATGGTTATTGATAAGACACTTATTTACTGAACCTAAAGGGCTACAAAGAACTATTTAATAACATTTTAAGAACTTTTTATTATTTAGTTCTTCAGAAAAATATCTATTTACTGCTGTTTTAAAAAGCTAAAAAAATCTATGAAGAACTGAGAAACCAATAATGTAACGTTAAAAAACACTCTTGATCTCTAAAGAGCCATATATCAAATCAAGAACCCTATACACTCTTGAAAAAAAGGTTCCAAGATTTCAGTGATGCCACAGAAGAACTATTTGGGTTCCTCAAAGAACCTTAAGCTCTTAATGAACCAGTTCTTAAATTAACCATTTTTCTTGTGTGAAGAACATTTTAATAACCTAAAAAACTCCACAGTGTGCATACAGTGAAAATTGTTCTTTGCTGAACCTAAAGGTTTGCAAAGAACCAGTGAATAGTCTTTTTCATTTGATACATATTTAGAAAACAATATACCAATATATCGATCTGAAAAACCATTAGGAACTAAAATCCAAAGAATTGAATAGCAATAATAAAAAATAAAAAAAAGATCAAACGTTTACAAAGAACCATTTAAGAACCTTTATATTTAAGAGTGTATGGTCTAAAGCAAGGAAATGCAGGAGGGCAAATGGTGTGAAACAAAACAACGCAATACAATCAAAACAGTGAATGCACAGTAACAAGATTCTGTGTCGAACTGATGACCAACTCAAAGTCACAGTTCATTTTTTAAAGGGCATCATACAAAGGCATGATGATGAATCCATCTTCTTGCGTGGGCTTGTTATGTGGCCCATATCTGATTGCACTGTAATGTCCATACAACTGTGTATTCTCAGTGCTGTCCACATGCAAACAATCATAAATCACCTGGCGGTAAATGTTTACTTCATAAGCTGTGCCCTAGTTTTGCTTTAGAGCGTACGGAATGAACCTAGAGGTCATTTTGAGATATTTGTCTTGCTTGTTCCAGTGAATCCGTACGAGGAAGAGAGTGGAAGACCATATTCCTGGGAGATGGAGCTGAGCCCTGCGTTGTGGCACTCCCAGGTGGTACCGCTAGAAACAGACCTGGAGAGGGTGAGCTCTCATCCCGAGTGCTCCATCTGCTTCAGCACCTACGACAACGTCTTCAAAACGCCAAAACAGTTGGACTGCACTCACACCTTCTGCCTCGAGTGCCTCTCCCGCATTATGACCACCTCCATGGACCCCCAAAACTGTAAAATCTCCTGCCCCTTTTGCCGCCAGCCCACTACCATCCCAAAAAAGGGGCCTCCGGCTTTGACCACCAGCCAGGAGGTGCTGTGTCGCCTGCCCATCCACCAGCAGCAAGAGGAGCCTGTGTGGTTGGATGGGGAGAGGCTGTGCTACCAACGGCCAATAGATATTCCAGGCGTGCCAGCATTCTGCATCTGTGTCGATATTGGGGCCAGTGGACAAACCGCCGTATCTTCTTCACAAACTCGACCGCGACTTGGGCTTCTGGAACGGCTGATGGATTGGAAGCGTTTGCTTCTCTTTATATTCCTCATGATGCTGCTGCTGGGGATCGTTCTGTGGCCCCTGCAGTGCATCGTCACGACGGGCTCCATGCGTTGTGCGCCCCAGAACTTGCAGATATCTACTACCACACCTTCTACTACTACAGTCAATGTATAAGTGAGACAGACACGTCTAGATGGATATTGGACTTGCTAAATCAGGATGACTGGTGTCAGTTTACATCCATACCTTTGTGCAAAGCCTGCTGGGTGCTAAAGGACTAAAGGCAAGCAGCTGGACTGCAGTAAAGACTGAAGAACTGTATCGGGATCATGTGAAGGAGCGTGAGAAAACTGATTGATGATCAACAATGATCAAAACAAAAGCAAAACCGATACAAAGTACGGTCACATTAGTTCTGGTGCAAATTTGCAGGCAAAAAAGGTGCAGTCAGTAGTATAATGATGTGATTGAAAGTAACCAAGCAATTCGCGAATTCACATTACCAACATCACAAGTCAAATGTGTTTTGAGAACGTTTTCACTCTCGTGAAATCGCACAGATTCCTATTGAAATGACTGGACTTTGCCCATGAGAAACAGTAAATGTGGCTGCAACTCAATCCAAAGAAAACAATGTTTTTTTACTTGTACATTTATGTATATATTGTATTTGATTGTATTACATTCCATGAAGAGTATTTTGTTTACAAAAAATAAATAATTGTTGCTGTAAACCGCACAAGGAGGTTCAAGGAACGGTGTCATGAAATGTTATTCAGGTTTTAATAAGTGCAATATTCATGATATCACTGATAACTCAGGTCGACAGACAAAAGAAAGGAAAAGCAAACAGGCTCACGTGGCTCTAACTGATCACATCCTGCTCTGGGACAGTTAAACGAACACGCCTCAAAGAATAACCGTCTGAAACCTAAGCCCTGCGGCGACGAGTGCTCTGAACACACTCACACCAACTTAAACTATACCACTGTGTGTGTTTCTTAGGGATGAATTATCAGTTTCCTACTTCCAGGTGTATTTATGAAAAAAAAATGTATTAAACGAGAGAGAGAGAAGGAAATTATAAAGAGGGAAGGAAATAAAATATGGGTCAGAAACTGTTTGTTTGGAGCAAGGTAAAATGAGTCAAAGACAATTAGTAGAAAGTTCCCAGTGTATGCTTTATTATGCAATAACTAGTCCTGTATTATTATTTGAGATGCAAGTCTTTACATCAGCTGCATCTTTCAGGGCAAAAGGCATTTTAGGCTGAAACAGTGCAATAGGGAACACAGTCTTTATCACACAAGGACAATCAGCACGACACAATTCAGATCAAACCTACTGATCACCAACTGAGATTACAAAAACCCACCAATATAGTATTCAAGTAAATTTAAAAAGAAGTCTTCAAAATTGTGACAATGCAAGCAGATAGCTTTATAACTGTTGATGTTTTGTATAATAGTAGAAGCAATAATAATAAATGTTAACATCGTCCTAAAATAATATGCTAAACGGCTGTGAATATTTCCATCACTGTATTAATGAACAAATGAAATGTACAATTTACAAATCAATAACTGATTCAATAAAACAAAAATACACGACTCATCTATAATGCAAAACACCACACTGATGGCAAATCAACAAAAAATATCCATTATATATACCTCCAAACAAAAGGACATTCTGACAACCATAGACACTATACCTTGCAGCAGTTCAAATTGAATTTCAAGTCTTAATATGCCATTACATTTTTGACCCATTTTCACAGAGGTAAAAATAAAACAAATTTAAACAGCAGACAAACAGCTTTCAGATGCCAGTAGTACATTGCTGTCACATGATCAGGTACATAAATCACAAATTCATTCAATCAATCAGTCAGTCAGTCATTCCAAGGACAATGATTATCATACGCAGTGACATTGCTTTTACTTCCTGGAAGGTCTGACAAACTGGTTCTCTAGTATAAAACCCAAACATTTCATCCATTCAAGTGCAAAAAAAGCAGACCCAGGCCTCCCTCTGAACATGTACGGTAGCCCTTCAAGATCGTGACATCACAGATCCCCTCATGTGGCCACAACTAACACCACATTCACAGTCAGACGCTGATTAATCACTTACTTTATCTAAGACAAGATGTACACTACTTTAATGTTTTTAGTCTGTAAGATTTTTTTAAGCGTTTTCACCAAGGCTGAATATTTGACCAGATATAGGCTGCATATATGATCTCCAAAAATACAGCCAAAACTAAAATATTGTGAAAATATTATTGAAAAAAATGTTTTTTTTTGTTTTGTTTTAATCTACTTTAATTAATTGTAATTTATTCCTGTGATGGCAAGGCAGCCATTACTTCAGTCTTCAGTATCAAATGATCCTTCAGAAATCATTCCAGGCTGCTCAAGATATTTTTTAATCATCATCTAATGTTAAAAAAGTTTGTGCTGCTTCATTTTTTTGTGGAAAACCGGATACATTTTATTTTCAGCATAACAGCATTTAAAATAGAAAACTTTTAAAATGTCTTTATTATCACTTTTGATAGATGAATGCAACCCTGCTGAATAAAAGTATTAATTTCTTTTTTTTTAAAATCTTACTGACCCCAAACCTTTACTGACCTGGTAGTGTATATATAACATCTTATGACAGCACTGCTGACCTCACCTAATAATAGCTACGTTTGGATTACGGCCATGTTTTAAATTACTTTTTTCGCCCTACACAAATCTATTTCTTTAATCTTAGCTGTGGGCCATCTGGCCTGCCTCCTTTTTAGCTAAAGTCTCCACCGAAATGCCATTCACGTCAACAGCTCGCTCGACATCCTGACGTATCCCCTCCATTGTAGATGTTCAGTAACACCATGTTTTTCAATTGACGGTTTTCATTCGAAGGCCTCAGTGCAATCACAACCCGCTATTGACGTAAAGAGCTTTATCGGGCTATTTATAACACCGCAATACACACACACCCTGTTTATATGTGATAAAAGAGCTTAATGTGTCTCTTAGGAGGAAAATGTGGAATAATATAGTTAAAATGCATTATATAAAAAAATGCCAGGCCTAGATTTCAATATCACATTCACAAATATCACAAGATAAAATTGCTCTAAAGGAATCATAGTTGCAAACAAAATGACTAGTAACAAACAAACAAAACCCTACCTAATAAAGGCTCACCTGATGTTTTCAGAACAATAAAGCCTACGCATAGAGGGAGGAGCCCGCTGATGAAGAGGCAGCCTGATTGGTTGATAAGCCTTTGATTGACAGTAGCACTTGACTTCCTCCAACGGTTCATTTGCCTGGAGGTAATGCTCAATAAAAAAGCATCAAAGCAGAAGCCTTTATGAATATGATGCACAGGCTGCTAATTGGCACATACTGTATAGATTCTACCACACTGTACCAAATCAGCCCATTTAAAACACCTACTTACATAAGATATCCAAATCATTGGTTGAACTTTGACCAATCACCTCCCATGTGCTCTGAAAAGAAAAGGGGGGATCCTTGAGGCAGGATGGTGTAATTTTCTTCTTCTTATATCACCGTGCCACGAGCATCACTCAGCAGAGCGCAAATAACCGCTGCTTGTGAGATACATATCAAAGGTCTTTGGTTACAGTAGACGACATCCAGTAGGCAAAGCAAGGTCTGGAAACAGCCGTAGACAGCATGGAAAGAGCGTAGCTTCATCCAAAGTTACGTCACTGAGTGTAAATATTCATATTTCATATATATTTCACACATGTACAAACCATCATGTAGCTTAGTGCAGTGTAGAGAGGCTTGTTAGACTAGAAGTGGAGAGAAAGCACCAAGTCACGCGTCCTTTGCGGGAACAATTTCGGCTGCTGTTGAGGCACTTGGTTTTGGAGTGTGAGTTTCTCAGACGTAGTCAGTCAGGAAATGAAGAGAGGAGTTGTTGGAGATTTCGGTGGAATCTCTAGCTGAGCGGCTGGGCGGCTTCACCCCCACCCTCCACCCCCCAGTGCTGTAATCCAGCGTCGCTCCATGATCAGGTGTTTCTACACAGCACCTCTGCTGGAATTGCAAAGGAAAGGACGAGAACATTTAGAGATGCATTCTTTAAACAAGTGTGCCACTTTTACACATATGTCTTGGTTCTTTTGCAAATGGTCAAATCTGATGCATTAGTCCAGGCAGTGGAGAGGTGTATCTATTGTACACTGGTTGCTATAGTAATGATGTAGGCATCAGCAAGATGCCAAATTACTTTCTTTTACAAAGGCTGAGTGCCAAGCTGTCAGTATGGAAAGAGGAGGAAAAATTGACATTTTATGGACACGAGTAGACACACGAGTCTTTTCGCCCCTATATCTACAGTGTAAAATGTGCCAAATTTTGCAAGACAAAACTGCATATTTCAACTGGGGTCTGACAAATAACACATCTGATAAAAATAAAAATAAAAAAATAAATAAAATAAACCCAAACCACATACTCTATAGATATGACTTTGATAGGTTTTTGCTATTCAGTCTACAGCTAACTATATTTCAGTCTATGCCTACATTTGGATTTTTGCTGTCAGCATAAACAAAGCGTAATTATGGTAAGTACTTATTTAAATACACAACAGTCATCAGTCATATAAAAGTAATGGCTGCATTTATTTGATCAAAAATACAGCAGAAACAGTAATAATGTGAAAAATGATTACAATTTAAAATAACTGATTTTTGTTTAAATATATATTTTAAAATGTCATATATTCCTGTGTTGGCAATTTTGAATTTTCAGCATCATTACTCCAGTCTTCAGTGTCACATGATCATTCAGAAATCATTCTAATATGTGGATTTAGAGCTCAAGAAACATTTATTATTATTAGGAGGATTCGTTTGATGAATAGAGATTTCAAAAGAACAGATATTCTATGATTTTTTAAACAAACAAACAAAAAGAACGAAAAACATGAAATGATTATTATTATAATTTAAATTATTATAATTTACTATCATTTTACTATATTATTATATAGATTGTATTTTATGTATTAATTTGTTTATAAAGTATGTATTTATTAACCTTTGAAAACATCAGTAGCTGTGCATATTCATTGAAGTATGGTGTTATTTTCAAGGCCATTTGGCAAACAGTACTGTTCTGTAAGATTATACTTTTTCTGATGGTGGGCTGCAACAAAGACACAACTCTCACCCCCATCTGTTCCTTACTGTCTTTCTCCTTCTCATTCTGTTTCTGTCTCTCTACTCCAACAGCCTTGATGCAGGTGTGTGTGTGTGCACAGAAGCATGGCTGCAGCAATGTGTAACACTGTGAGTGCGAGGGTGGAAAAACATACTCCCAGACTCCCTGAGACAGCAGCCCACATGGCTTATCTCCTGGTATTGCTGCTGGCTGAGCCCTTTGGATTTTTGATATTCAAATTCTCATAAACACCGGAGTCATCGTTCATTCTGTGGAAGAGTTGAATAGAAGCATGTTACTAAAATAAACAGGAATGAAAATTCTATTCGAATCTATTCGATTATAGGGATGCTACAAAATCGAAACTGACACAGTTATATACAAACATATTTTATGACTTGATGTATCGTATGAAGTTGCATATTGTGTTTATTGTTCTAGAACAACTGACTCACAGCAGCGTCAGAATCCTTTTGACGGAAAATGATTCACTTAGCAATAAATACCTTTAGAATTGAGGAAGTGTAGGAGATAGTAGAGTTTACCTGAAGAAACTCATTAAATGTTTTCCAGTAACAACACTGTGTGGGCCATTTTTCAAAGTGTGTGTTTGTGTGCAACACAGGAAATCAGCACTTACACAGATGAAGAGCGAGACGAGCTCATGTTTGGCTTGGCTCTGGCATTTGACATCTGTGGGTACTTGATGTTAGAGTACTCTCTCTCCTTTGTTTTATTCCTCTGCAAAAGAAAAAAAAACAAGGAATATAAAACTGACGCATTTTAATGTATATAAATAATGGATGTCAAATATTTAAATTATTTAGTACTTAACCTTCTATTCAACAAAAAAATCCTAAAAAAACTGAATGGTTTCCACAAAAATATTAGGCATCAACCAATTTCAGCATTGATAATAATAAGAAATGTTGTTGTGCACCAAATCAGCATATTAGAATGATTTCTGAAGGATCATATGGCACTGAAGGCTTGAGTAATGATGCTAAAAATTCAGCTTTGCCATCACAGAAATAAATTACATTTCAAAATATATTCAAATACAAAATAGTTATTGTAAATTGTACCAATATTTCACAGTATTACTATTTTTACTGTATTTTTCTATAAATAAATGCAGCCTGGTGGGCATGAGAGGCTTTCAAAAACATAAAAAAATCTTACTGATCCCAAAATCTTGAATGGTAGTGTATATGTTTACTGTATCTATCAAACGGCACTGGAGAAAGCTTAATTTATGCAGAAGTGCTCTTTACTTATCTAAGCTGCACAAAAAAGTTTTAATGTTTCGTCAAACTCTTCAAATAATTAACTAACTTTGACAGTCCTAAAAAATAAATAAGAGCAGAATCCAAAAGAAGCATTGATATTTCATTCCGTCAGTGAATTTGTCACATTATTATCAGGTGAAATTAAGTGTGTAGGTACCTGCTCCTCTTCCAGTCTCTTCTGAGCCGTGTCAATGTATTGCTGAACAGCCATGTAGATGAACTTGTACTGAGCCTCGGTCTGAACCATACCGGATCGTTGCTGGCGAACTCTCTGGATGGTCTTTGGGATGTCGATGTCACAATCCAACCCTTAGAGTCAGTTAAGTTGTGTTATTTTTTATCATTTAAGGGGTCCTATTATGCTTTTTCACTTTTTCAACTTTAGTTAGTCTGTATGTTGCTGTTTGAGCATAAAAAAGATCTGCAAAGTTACAAAGCTCAAAGTCCACTTCAAAAGGAGATATTTTATTTAACAGAAATCACTTTTCAAAAACTACAATGAACGACTCGTTTGGACTACAACGCATATTTTCATTGATATCACAAATACCGACGAATGGGACTAGACCTGGTTGAGCTGCACTAGAGAAGGCAACGAGTGTTCCCCTTCAGGAACTCGAGCTGCATCGAGATTCGCTTTGGGAACACCTCTGCGTGACCACGTTCTGAAGCACGTGTAAAATCAGTCCAATGGAGCAGCGAGACGTCACGAGCGAGGTGACGTGAGCGCCAGGAAGTATAAAAGCGCATCCAGTTAGCTTCTGCTCTTCAGTAGCGCTCTGTGTATGTGTCAGTCTATTTACTGCTGTCTGTCAGTCCACAAGCATTCAAAAGAATATATCAAAGTCTAAACTAATATCTATGGTGAGCAAATGGCATTACAGACGTTGTGTGCCAGATGGCAGCGGGGGATACACACGATCTGTGTCTTGTTTGTTTAGGAGCGGAGCATGCACAGTCAGCTTTCGAGGAGCTGATTGTCATCACTGCGAGTTACTCTCGCTGCGTATGCTCCGCTCTCGCCTGGCTGTGTTTGATGAGACCGGCCAGGCTTGCGTTGCAACCCACACCCCTCCACAGAAAGGTCGGGGTCGGGCGACGCTCTCAGTCGGGGTCTTCTAGACCGAAAACGGATCTGCGGACCGTTATTTTATCTAAGAGGACCTCGGCTAAACGGTCCTACCATTGTCAGGTCCCTGAGGGCAGCCCCACCGTATTTCCATGTTTAAAGCGGATTTCTTCCCTTTGGCCTGTGACTCTCACCCCGCACTTTCACGAAGTGTGTGGATGCAGATCTGGCTCCTTTGTGACTCCAGGGCATCCGCATACTCAATTACATCGACGATTGGTTGATACTAGCTCGATCGGAGCAGTTGGCGGCTCAGCATCGAGATGTCGTCCTCGCCCATATGAGAGAGCTGAGGTTAAGACTAAACGCCAAGAAGAGTGTACTTTCTCCACAACAGAGAACCACTTATTTAGGTGTGGTGTGGGATTCAACGGTATACCTTTTGGCCTGCTGTACATGAGACCCTTGCAGTGGTGGCTCAGGACCAGGGGATTTTCCCCGAGGGGGAATCTGCTTCGCATGATCAAGGTCACACGGCAATGCTTACGTGCCTTGGACATGTGGAAGAAACGTTGGTTCCTAGTTCAAG